GGCCTCCGCCTCCGCCCGGTAGCTGCAGCCCCCTCCCTCCACCAGGTCTGCTTCCCGTCCCCCTTCCTCCGGGCACCCCTCTTCCTGTCCAGCCCCACGGCCCCCACCCCTCCCTTCCTCCCAGCCAGTCCTGCGGCCCCCGGACACCCGCCCCCCGCCAGCTCTGCTTCCCACCCTGCCCACCTCCCAGCTAGCCCTAGCCTTCCTCCCTCCCAGTGGGTTTTTTCCCCCGCCCCTGCCCTTGCCTCTGCCCCTGATCAAGTGTGTCCGGTTTTCTGGCGGGGTCTACCTGGCAACCCTAGTTGTGTTGATGTACCCCCCCCAGACCTCTCTCAAGATGTGTCCAGTTCTGGGCACCACAATTTAGGAAAGATGTGGACAAACTGTAAAGAGTACAGACATGCGCAAAAAAAGTGATAAAAGGTTTAGAAAACTGATCTATGAGTAAAGGTTAAAAAACTGGGCACATTTATTCTTGAGAAAAGAAGACTGAGTGGTGACCAGGTAAGTGTTCTGATATATAAAAGGATTGTTAAAAACAGGAAGGCTATATCAATTGTTCTCCATGTCTGCTGAAAGTAGGACAAGAAGTAATGAGCTTAATTTGCATCAAGCAATATTTAAGTTAGATATTAGCAAAAGCTTTTCAACTATAAAGGTAGTTAAAGCATTGGAATAGGCTTCCAAGTGATGTTATGGAGTTCCCATCATTGGAAGTATTAATAAACAAATGAGATAAACACCTGTTCTGCTGGAGTGCAAGGGGCTAGACTTGATGACTTCTTAAGGTCCCTTCCAACCCTATGTTTCTATGATTCTCTGATTTTTATGAATGTTAAACATTCTATAAAAGTTATTGTTAACCTAACATGAAGATTGCAATCCCTATTATCATTTGGTGTGAGGTGTATCATGTGCAGTCGGGATTGTGTGTCAGATTTCATGCAAGCTTCAATTGATGGTTTATTACACTGAATTCCCAAGGTCCAGAGTTCAGATCTCTCAATCTATAGTCTGTTACCTTTGGAATTTGCTCCCTTTGGGCATTTGACCAAGGCTTCTAAGGCAGTCTACAGAGAAAGATGCAAAGTACACATATGTGCTTCAGGATTTAGTTTCAGAGTTGGGCAATAATAGGGTTGTTTTTGTTTTAAATTTGCCTTACTATGGGTTATATATGCAGTTATGTTTATTAATTTCTGTAAAGCAAAAACCTACTTGCTAAGCCAGAAGGTTTTATAAGAAATCATTAAGTAAATGGAACAAAAAATAGAATTAATATTTTACTCAGATGCTTCCATTGAACAGCATTTGGAGGTTACTTGTAACTGAAGTTCTTCATTATGCATGCTGCATAGTTAACACTCTTGGGATGTGCTGACTTGATGCAGCTAGAATGATGGAACCTTCTAGTAACAGTGCCTGTTAGCAGCATTTGGTCCTCTCCTTTCTCCTCCTGACAGAGCACACACTGCAGAATAAATGCTAAAGCAGAATACCAAGTAATGATACAATTAGGATTCCACAGAAGCAGGGAAGATAGGTGGGGAATGTGACTATGCGGAAAGTATATCAAAGAACTTCAGCTACAAATAACCAACCTACATTTTTTAAAGTTTCCTTTGCATATTGCCACCCTTGGGGAAATTTGGAAAGCAGTATCTAAAAAAGGAGACAGAGTCCTAAAACTGAACAGTGATTGAAATATTGACCTGCCAAAATGAGCATTGGACCTTGATTCCAAATCTAGTGCACAGTGAGTTGTGAAAGCATGGATTGTTCTCCATGTAACCATCTTTTAAATTTCAGTAGTAGAAATGTGCTTGAAAAATACTGTAGACATAGCCATTCCTTGACTCTGGTCTCCTACTTTTAAAGCCAGATCTTCTTGAGCTTTCAGATCCCACAGGCTTACCAGATAGCACTTCTTTTAATGGAAAGACCTGCAAATCTATTTTGTCTGTTCTTCCTGGTTTGGAGGTACTAGTGGGGGGGCGGGGGGTGGTATGGGGGGAGAGGAGCATAGGACTGGAAGTGCTGTAATCTGGAAGTGTACCAGTGAGTGATTTTCACCAAAACATTTTAAGCACCAGATGTGTGCTTCAGAAGGAAAGATTGCCAGAAACAATGCAGGTCTTTTTTTGAATGTGCTTTCTGACTTTGACCTCCATCATGATCAATAAGTTAACTATGTTGTTTTAATATTTAATTTTTAACTAAGTATAACTGTACTGACTACAATACTTCTAAAGTATTTTATTTAATTAATGTATTTATTTATAGACTCTTGCACTTATATGGAGACAGACAGATCTAAGTTGGTCTAATGCTGTGTCCATTGGAAGGAACTGAGATAACAACAGCACCAATGATTATCCTGTAGTCATGTTCCCCTAATTGGCAAGGGATCTGAGAATGGGAGGGGTGGGCAAGATACTTCTAATAGGCACAATTACAGAATGTTCCACTGTCCTAGCTGCCTCAGGTCAGTGCATCCCAAGAGACTATGCAGGAGGCACTCTAAGAACTGATATTATTGATCAAGAGCTTCAGAGGGGTAGCCGAGTTAGTCTGTAGCAGGAAAAACTTAAACAATAATCTAGTAGCACCTTAAAGACTAACAAAACACGTAGATGGTATCCTGAGCTTTTGTGGAAGTGGGTTGTGCCCACGAAAGCTCAGGATACCATTTACATGTTTTGTTAGTCTTTAAGGTGCTACTAGACAATTTGTTATTATAGATCAAGGACAGTCATAGAATCATAGAATACTAGGACTGGAAGGGACCTCGAGAGGTCATCGAGTCCAGTCCCCTGCCCTCATGGCAGGACCAAATACTGTCTAGACCATCCCAGTCAGAGAGAGGCCTATCTATAGAAACACCTTTTTAAAAACTTGTTTTAAAAAACAGTTCTCCCCAGTTCACCTGACCAGACAAACCAAATCAGAATTAAACTGTATTTAAAATCAGTTCTGCTAATGTTTTTTATTATCAGAGTAACAAAATATACATTTAATCTAGTATCATGGATTAATATTTGTGTCCTGTACTGAATATTTCCAATCAAAGAAATACAAACCAAGGAAGATGGTTTAGTTTAATTTTGTTTAAAACTTATTGCAGGAGGAAACCTCACAGGAGCAATATTTAATCCAGCATTGGCCTTTTCATTACATGCAAGTTGTTTTCGTAACAAATTCTGGGATTATTCACTAGTATATTGGATGGCACCTTCCTTAGGTAAGTGTCCTTTTTTTTCCAACTTCAAAAAACATGTTGTTACAATATGAGGTTCAGGGAAAAAATTGTGAAAATAAAGGATAGTAATCTAGATTTTCATTTTCAATTGAATAAAAAAAAGCTACATTAATGCAGTATTAAGATTAGAATTTGATTCTAGTCAGGATATTCAAAGTTATATTAGAAGGACAATATGTGTAAGATAGTATCTTTCATTGAACCAACTTCTCTTGGTGAAAGACACAAACATAAGTTTGAAAGCTTGTCTTTCACCAAAAGAAGATGGTTCAATGAAAGCTACTATCTTACACATATTGGCTACGTCTAGACTGGCATGATTTTCCGCAAATGCTTTTAACAGAAAAGTTTTCGTTAAAAGCATTTGAGGAAAAGAGTGTCTAGATTGGCATGGACGCTTTTCCGCAAAAGCACTTTTTGCGGAAAAGCGTCCATGCCAATCTAGACGCGCTTTTGCGCAAAAAAGCCCCGATCGCCATTTTCGCAATCGGGGCTTTTTTGCAGAAAACAAATCTGAGCTGTCTACACTGGCCCTTTTGCGCAAAAGCTTTGCGCAAAAGGGACTTTTGCCTGAATGGGAGCAGCATAGTATTTCTGCAAGAAGCACTGATTTCAGACAGTAAGAAGTCAGTGTTCTTGCGGAAATTCAAGCCGCTAGTGTAGACAGCTAGCAAGTTTTTCCGCAAAAGCAACTGCTTTTGAGGAAAAACTTGCCAGTCTAGACACAGCCATTGTCTTTCTAATATCATACACTCGGCACTGCTATAGTTCTGCAGACATACATACATACATACATCTGTAAAGCTTGCAATAGGGGCCATAATTTTTAATTGCCTGTGAGATTTAAGCCTCAGTCTTAGCACCATAGTAAGATAGCTGTTGGAATCAATATTTTGGTGTGTGTGTGGGGGGGGGGGGGGAATTATTTTATTTCTTATAAGAAAAAGTGAGGTGTTTTCTTTGACTATGTGATCATTAACTTAAATGTAAAGTACATATATGGCACAGGGTGCTTTGAAAAGAGCTGCAAAATTCCAAATGGTTTGCAAGACAGATGCATTTTAACTGGTCAGTTTTAAATTGACACATCTACTTTGGCTCTGCCAGAATGATATTACAGTTCGATATATTCATCTTTCATTTGGCCAGCCTTGGTGCTTCTGTTTTAAAATTCTTGTGGTTTGAGACGTGCAACATCCTAAAGGACTGTTCAGGTTCCAACAAAATATCAGCCACATTTGTTGGATTCTGGCAAACCCTAAAAGGGAAGGTGAGCTGTGAAAGTGAAAAATATCCTGAAAGATTTGAAAATGGACAGAAATTGATCAGCTGGTGTCTACCCAGTTAGATTCTGTACTACAGTACTTAATTACAACACACACAAAAATTAAGAAAACTGGATTTTTCTTAAGTGTTGGACTAACTGCTCAAAATAACAGAACATCCAGTGTGTTGTTAATATAAAAATGTACCTTTTCCTCCTTCCTCATCATTAAACTCCAGATGTGGCAGTTTGCACTCTATGAAATCTAAACATGCCCTACTTTAGTGATGTCACAGCTGCCATAGAACCCTATTGGAGGACAGAACTGGCCAGTAGTGGTGAGATGTAATTTTTAAGTACAAAATTAGGATATTAAAAAAGCAACCTAGCAAAACTACACAAGATAGTACCTTCTTTTTTAAAAGGCCTGTTAACTTCTACATGTCAATCCTTGCCTCCCTATGGATTCAATGTGACATCACCAACAGCTTCAAAAAGAAGTTAGCAAGTCGAAGTACAGAACATTGGAAAAGGAGGCCCGGTGACAGAATAAACTAACTTAGTGTGCTGACTGCTCTGAAATCTGGTTAATTGAATCAGTTGGTCCATTAGTTGAGATTTTTTGGATTACTGTTGTATTTTCAAGTGAGTTAAACTTATGGACTCTGGCTTTTAAAAGCAGATTTTTCCATACAATCTGAATCTGCTTTGAATAATATATTCTTAGGGTAAGAAATCTGTCCAGGAAAAATTAATTAGTGATGTCATCTTCTACAGGTTCTTCAAGATTTCTCTTTGTATGAAACTGTGTTTGATGTGATTGTTTCCAAGGTGTTTAATTTGCATGTCACTTTTTACAAGAAATTTCTTTTGTCAGTTTCTACTGTTCTTCAGACTCCCAAACACATTTAAAATTATTTTACTTTACATAGCACTGGGATTGTGTATTCCTCAAATGTATGTACTTAACTGCCTTTTTGTATTTTGTCCCATCAGGTACAGTACTTGTGGCCATTGTGCGGGGTGAAATTCTTCCTCTGATACTGTGAGATTTTAAAATGGTAAACTCTAGAATTACATCTGTTAAAAAGACTCTTAAAAACAACTGAAGTGCAGCAACACAGTACATAGAGGGAAGACACCTGGATACCAGGCATTCAGAACACTGATTTTCTTACAGATTTTCCAGATAATTATATGTTTTGAAATACAGTCTTAGAACTACACAGTAGAATTTAATTACAACAAATTGTATGGAGAGAACCATGAAAGTGAAACCTATATAAAATCTCAACTTTTGTGTATCTCCACAATTATCTGAAAAGGTTGGGTATCTGCCTCTACTGTTTAATTACATCGGACTCCTATCCATATATAATACCCACAAGAGAAGGGGTGAGTTCTGAAAACTTCATTCTTCGAATGACCCACTGCATATTCCTACTTGTAGCATACTTAGCATCTGCAAGGAGGCACCATGGGGCATGTGTCCCCAATGGATAATATTCACTAGAAAGATTACAGAGTTTAACACAAGATACACCATTTCTCGTAAGTGTGAACATGCAGAGGTAACACTCTAAAAAAAGACAAGGTACTGAGGAGTAGTAATACATCTTTTCCTTTTGTGAGGAATCTACCTCTAGGGCCCCATCCTGTTTGGTAGTAAAAGTTGCAGAATCAGGCCCATACTTCAGTTATTTTTGTTTTCTCTTCTTCTGAGTACTAAGTGATTAATTGACAGCAGTTCATTTTCTATTGTTAACTTTGCCTAAGATTAGTAAGTATTATCAGCAAGAGAAATCTGATAGGAGACTTAATCAGTACTAGAGACAGGCAAATACTTTGATGACTTTTCAGAAAGCTTGAATCACTTGTGATTCTATTTTCTCTTCAAAGGCTCTCAGTGCACATATTTAGTATTTTTCTTTTACATGGAGCAGTGCTCTGCTGTACAAAAAAATAACGAGCAGAGTTTCTGCTGCCTCAGAAAATGTACCCCTGCTGCACACCAAGCTAATTGACCAGAAAAGACCTTTGTTGTGGTGAACACAGCCTACAGGTTGTCAGCGTTCCACAGTAGTTTGCATTGTCATATGATGTTTTTCTCTATATATGCTTTTATAATACCATTAACTTTGAACACTTTGCCCCTCTCATCTGTGCAAAATCACCATTTTGTTTAAAACTTTATTTAGAGGGTTTGGTTGTGTTCCTCCATTTATGGTTAGTGGATTTGAAAGGGGATAAAGATAACAAATTTTATACATAACAGACACTGAAGCACGGGACTCTCACAAAGCAGTCAGGAGATTTTGCACTGTTAGATTCCGAATTTAAACTAACTCCAACACACCCAGTCTTTAAAATGCTGTAGAGTGAATATTTTTATGGATACCTCTAGGTATTTTGCCTGTTGCCAATCTGGTTAATTTTCAGAGAAAGTAGTATTGCTACAGATAAGCACATTTTGATTTTTGTTTTGAATAGCTGTCCATATGTAAGATATTACATATGATCTTCTAGTGTTTCAGCTGTTAGCCTTATCTCAGCTAAGTTTCCTCTTGACTTAAGATGAGGCATGGTCTTACTTCAGAGCCAACTCCAATAATGCTGGCTTAGTAAGCTATAGAGCTGAAAAACAAATAGCATCTATTCAACAGTCTACATTAGTCCAGGTCTGCAAACCCTTGTTTCAGGCAACCAAATGCATTTAGGAACAGCCAGAAAGACATCTGAAATTTCTGACACATTGTTAAGGATTTCCAGAATCTAAGATGACTGGCAAAAGAGCTGACTTACTTTTTTAGTCTATTTGCTACGGTTAATACAGTAGAGTCTGGATTATCCGACCTTCGGTAATCCGACATTCCGCTTTATCCTACCCTGCAGCTCCTGGGGACAGAGTGGCACCGGCAGGAGGGGCATCAGCAGCTCTAGGGCGCTGGCCGGGAGAATGGCCCTGTTTGCTGCCCCATCGCTCTCCTGGAGCCACTGATGCCTCTCCTGCTGGCGCCGCTTCGGCCTTGGGAGCTGCAGGTATCAGTGTCTCCAGGAGAGCGACAAGGCAGCGAACGTATCCTACCCTGCAGCTCCTGGGGACAGAGTGGCACCGGCAGGAGGGGCATCAGCAGCTCTAGGGCGCTGGCCGGGAGAATGGCCCTGTTTGCTGCCCCATCGCTCTCCTGGAGCCACTGATGCCTCTCCTGCTGGCGCCGCTTCGGCCTTGGGAGCTGCAGGTATCAGTGTCTCCAGGAGAGCGACAAGGCAGCGAACGGGGGCCTGGGGTGGGCAGGGCATAAGCCTGGAATCAGCATATTCCTGGCTTGTGCCAAGTCCCAAATGGCGGCTCCAAGAGAGTGACGGGGCAGCGAGCAGGGACCATTCTCCCGGGCCACGCCCCGGAGCCACTGATGCCCCTCCTGCTGGCTCCGCTTCGTCCCTGGGAGCTGCAGGCATCAGCAGCTCCAGGAGAGCGACAGGGAGGTGAGCGGGGCTGGGCGCCCGGGAGCTGCAGGGGCCAGGGCCAGGCAGGGATGGGGACCAAGCAGCGCTGGCTACAGTAGAGTCTCTATCATCCAGCATTTTCAGTAATCCAACCACCAGTCGGTCCTGTTTAGGTTGGATAATCGGACTCTACTGTATTATAGCTCTATTTACAGCTTTGTTGTTGCCCAATTACTTTCCTTATAAATTTAAAATCTGTCCTGTGGAAAAGTGAAACTCCTACTCAGTACACTCTTATTCAAACAAACAAACAAAAAACTAGTAACACCAAGGTGATGTGTCAAATTGCCCAAAAGGCAAAAATATTTCATTAATATTTCTGAAAAATAAAACTATGGATGAATAAATTCTGCCTTTTAAACACTGAAATAGACATTTCTGGCCATGATTATGCTGCAGACCTCATTCTGCTGCAAAAACAGACCTGATTAAGATTTTGCACTGTAAAAATACTTGGTACTGAATGAACTAAGCCTTAATGAACAGATACTTTTCTTAATCTTTTAGTTCTGCAAGTGTTCTGGAGAGAAATTCTCTATTGTTAATACTTTCTTCAGATAACTTGTTTAAAATATAGTGTTTTGTTCTCAGTCTTGTATTTTTTTCCTTGCATTGTAAACACATGGATTCACAGAGATGAAATGTCTCAGAGGGTTAACCATGTTAGTATGAAACTTTAAAAACAAGTCGTCCTGCGGCACTTCAGAGACTAACATATATAGTATCATGAGCTTTTGTGGGTAAGACCCACCTCATCAGCTGCATTGAAGTTAAAATAACAGAATCCAAGGTATCTATAACAGCAAAAGAAGTCTCTGTCAATTGTACGATGTGCGTTAATGGAACTAATTAAGTGGGCTGGATGTGTTTCATTCATACCTTTTGATTAGGGATGTAATAATGTACTCGACTAAATCAGTGCTTCCCAACATTTTTTATATCGCAGACTGGAAAACACATTCACAAATTTTTGGTGGACCGGTAACATTTTTACTTGCATGTTTGTTTATTAATTATGCACATAGCAAAAATGCACATAAAATGTTACCCGTCTGCCAAAAGCCCCAGTCCCCAGAGCCACTGCGAACAGACAGCTTCAGCTCCGGCTGCCAGCAGTTCAGGGCCTAGCACTGGTTCACAACTTGGCCATTGGGAAACGCTTGACTAAACAACCAATAAGTAGGTGCTTATTGATTGACATTATCAACTACACAGAAACACACAACTGCTCTGTAAGTAAGTCCCTTAGCAGGCTGGCCGACAGGCTGGCTCAGTCCAGGCTTGCACCAGTTACGTCCTTCAACCCCTATGCCAGCTCTTAGTGCCTGGAATGCAGAGCCATAGTGCAGGTAGTTGCCAGGACCTGGCACAAACCAGGATTGAGTGGTATCAGTGCTAACCCTTATCAATTAATTGGGTAATCAACAGGTTTTTTTTTGTCGAGTATTCAAGAAGCATGTAATTCATTAATCAACATCCCTACTTTTGATACAAAAATTCAGATGTCAGAGGCAGGGGAAATTGGCTTTGTAAAGTACTAATCAGTTAATGTCTTTATTCAGGCCCAGGGTAACTGTAAAATTTAGGGGTGTTAGTTTGTTGTGTAATTGAATAGTCGTGTAACTGCATGAAATTTTAGCAGTTACACCCCCTATTTGATAGGCCCCAAGGGCAGGCCAGCAGCCAGTGCAGTTGGCCTCACTACAGGGGAGCCCCTGTCACTCAGCACTGCTGCTTCTCTACTGAAGGCAGCAGTGCGAGGTAGCAGGCGGGAGCTGGTCTGCGAGGTGAGCCAATTTAAAAAACAGCTCACCTCGCGGACTGGCTTCCTCCCTTCTGATACAGAGGCAGCAGTGCAGGGTGGCAGCAGCCCATCTGTGGGGGTGTCTGCAGGGCCGGTCCTAACCAATTGGTGGCCCCAGGCAGCAAGGGGGAGAAGGCGGGGGAGAGGAGGGCTAGCTCCCCATGCATATCAGCGGGGATGGGCAAAGGGGCCTCCACAGGACAGATCTGTCCCGCCAAGCCACTAGATCTGGCTCTCAGCCACCCTGCCACTCCCCTGCCCAATTGAGATCTGGGGATAGGGGAGTGCACAAAATACTTTCTCTACCCCTCTTCCCCCAAACAAGGGCACATGGTGGCTACAGAGAAACACCAGCTGTTTTAAAAGTCAGCATTTCTCTCTGACACCCACCTGTGAAGACGGGGGCGAGAGACCTCATGCGCTCCTCCGCCCCCAGGCCTGTGGCATCCGAGGGAAATGCCAGCTGTTTTAAGACTGCCAGCGGCTCTCTCTAGCTGTCGTACCTCTGGCAGAGCAGGGGCAGGGAGTGACTTTGCTTGCTCCCCTCACCCTTAAGCCTTTAAAACAGCTGTAGATTCTATGTGAGGGGAGAATGTCACACGCTCCCCCACCCCTAAGCCAATCAAATTCCAGGGGAGGGGGAGGGGGCAGAGAGGAAGGAGACGAGCATGAGAAGTCTCCTGGCCCTGCCCCTTCTAGGGTGACCCAGGGCCACTTCAGAAATTTATGAAGTGTCCCCCTTTTAAAACTTGCCCCATGCCCTACGGGTTTGTGTGTGTTATTTCTGATGTCTGATTTGTGTCCATTAATTCTTTGTCACAGACTGTCTAGTTTGGCCAAAATACATGGCAGAGGGTCATTGCTGGCACATATCACATTAGATGATGTGCAGTGATATGAGCCTCTGATGTTGTGGCTTATGTGGTTAGGTCCTGTGATGGTATTGCTCATAGAGATACGTGGACAGAGTTGGCAACAGGATTTGTTTGCAGGGGTAGGTTCCCGGGTGAACGTATGTGAGGTATGGTGTGGCTACTTGAAAGGACTTGTTTCAGGTTAAAGGGCGGTCTGTAGACAAGGACTGGCCTGTTTCCCAAAGTCTGAGAGAGCGAGGGATTGTTTTCCAGGATAGGTTGTAAATGAAAGAGGTAGTTCCAATATAGGTCATACTGCTACCCTTCCACTTTTTCTTACTCCCTCCCTCGCACTTTTTAAACTGTAAGACCCATGTTAATGGGACTAATTAAATGGGCTGGATGTGTCTCATTCATAGCTTTTGAGGCACCAGGCAGTGTCCCGTTTGGCCAATATACACAAGTGAACTACTTCAAGACAGGCCCAACAAGTCTCCAGCTTAAACCCCTCCAGCACAGTTGATAATTCTCTGCTCTTGAATATTTATTTAGAAATTGATGAATATTAGCCCTGTTTCTTATTCTAACACTCCTTTCTCTGCAATTATCATTAGATAGCTGTTGAGCAGCACTGCTCCTATCCAGTTTGTGTAACTGAAAGGGTAACAGTCTCTACATGATGCCAAATTTTGTAGATGAAAACTAAGTTCTCAGCAGCAGGGGCACAGTTCCATTGTCTTTAATGACAAGTATCAGGGGGTAGCTGTGTTAATCTGTATTTGCAAAAATGAGGATGCATCTGAGGGTGCATTCCTTTTCTCGAAAAAGGGATGTAAATTAGATACTTCAAAATTGCAAATGAAGCCGGGATTTATATTTCCTGTGTGTTTCATTTGCATAATGGCAGCCACAGTTTTTTCAGCATGGGGCTTTTCGATAGAAAAATGGCAATTTAAACAGGGATCTTTCGAAAATGAAACCCTTTTTCGAAAAAATCTTGTAAACCTCATTTTTTGAGACATGATCATGGCCATTGACTTCTTCCTGCTGTCCAAAGGCAACAGCCACAGAATCAGGACTCCTAATTTCCACCTGCAACTGTTGAGACAGGACTGTGCAGCACTTTAAAAACTAACAAGATGGTTTATTAGGTGATGAGCTTTATAAACCATCTTGTTAGTCTTTGAAGTGCTGCATAGTCCTGTCTTTTGTTTCAGCAAGACCAGACTAACACGGCTACATCTCTATTACTATCTGCAACTGTGTCACTGACTCACTGAGACAAAGGCAATTCAATTGGTGCCTCAACTTCTCCATCTATGCAATAGGCATAACAAATTTACATACCGTGGCGAGTAGATTGCAACCCGGAAGAGCCAGGTTCGGGCGATCTGCGCATGCACAGATCGCTGGACAGCGCGGCTGGTGAGCGGGGCTCGCCGCGGTTCAGTGAGCCCTGCTAATAATAATATAGGTAGTCTTGACAATTTATTTCCAGTTATCAAAAACTATATGCAGCTACACACTCAGTGCTATATCACAGACAACTAGAGCAAATGAAAACGCTGAACTCAAGAGTTTCTATTGGTTATTGACCATCTCCAGAATGTCAGTAGCAACAGCTGACGAAGCACATTTTGATAGGAAATGTTTACAGTCCAAAAATTTAGACTTTCTAACATTCCAAAGCCCTGCCTTCTCATGCCAAGCATGCCTCAACAGCAAGCAAGTCTCATAAATGTGATGCCCAGAGCCCCTCCAGTGGTGATTTATTTCTTTATCCAGGAGCCTGAAGCTACTTGCCTACACTACTGGGGAGGGGTGCATGGCCATTCTTGTGGTTTATCTTTGCTTTTTGAGCAGAAGTCATTTTGCTGCAGGGAAGCAAATAAATCTGAAAGTATCATTAATTCTGCATATGTACAATGATGCAGAATTCCTTGTAGAGTAGAATATGAAGACCAGAGTATACCCGGCAGAACTGTCTCCCAACAAATCAGAGGACATGGTGGAATGGATGAAAGGCAGCTTCAGCAGATTTCTGCATTTTTCTTAGCAGTCAGAATCTCCTAAAAACCCAGGGTAAGTCACAGCGAAGGTAGCTCTACAACATTTTAGAACAGTTCATCTATACTAGAGATTTGTACCAGTGTTACAATAGCGCAAAAATCCTGTATGCAGACAAGACTTAAAATGGGAAACATTTCAAGGAAAACATCCCCTTTAAGGGATGCACTTAAGTAACGCCCCTCTTATCCCCTCCCAAAAGTGAGCTGTCCAAGCAGAGCCCTGAGCAACTGAATTAATCTTCCAAAGAAAATGACTGACAGCTGCAAGAGAAGCCTGGATTGTGAGATACAAAAGTCTTAAGTTTATTAAACAATTTTGTTAATGTTTATTACAAAGACAAAACAAGCCTCATCTGTGGGACATCACTCTAGCCTCTTCCCTACCCAAACTCTGTCAGTAAAAATATGACAGACAAAAGACATGAACAGATAAAACCAGTTACTTGGGTGCCTAAAAATTAGTTTTGCTCTGCATCCTCAGCTGACTATTTTTCTTTACCAAATTCATGTTTCTATCATACATGGCTGATTTAATGGATAGACAAATACAAAAATATGGACAAATTCTAGGACAACCTAGAATTCTCTTCTAATTACAATTTTGTTTCTTAATTCCTAGAATTCCTACAAAGGCTTTCTAGAAATGAGCCATGATTAGCCCTATTCAAGCATTAGACAAGAGGTGCTGTTGTTTTTATCTTTTAAATAAAATCCCCATAGTGGTCACAGAAATATCAAACTCTGTTTTAAGCACATCTATACAAGCATTTACAGACATAAATGTCCATGCTTAGGTCATTAATAGAGAAGTTATTAATAAGGAGATTAATTCCCAATAGTTACTGCAATGCCTTCAGTTTTACAGTTTATTCTGCAAGGGCCACAAGAGGAATCTGAAAGATACAAAACACAGGATTTAGATTATTGTCATTAAAGAATAATAGCTGCTAGCAACAGCATGGGATAACTATTCACTCAACACATCCTGGGCCTGATTTTCAGAAGGGCTGGGCTCCTGCAGCTCTCACCGACTTCAGTGGGACTTTTGAGTGCTCAGTTGGTCTGAAAGTCAGGCTCTAAAAGGAC